TGTGAATTCAGGAAGGCAAACGTATTCTCTTAAAACAATTCCACACAGAAAACAGGTTGCTGCAAAGAACCTTCTGAGCATAACTGAAAATAACTACAGTGATTTGTTTATACCTAGAAAATCAAAACACTGACAAATATCTGGTCACTGATGCCATTTTACTTGTCTGAAGCTCTTCAGATCATTCTTAAAACTCACAAACCTCATGGGTTCTGGTGGGAAACATGACAACTACTTGAAAATAACATTTGAGACTTCTAAACACTTCAATAACTAACAACAGTGAAGTAACAACTAACAAACAATAGTTAACAAACATCAGGTTTGACCTTCTGTGATTTGTCCGTTACAATTTTAACAGTCAATACCAGGAGCACTGTTATCTTTAAGTCCTATTTTAGCCTTAAAAATACAATAATTCTCCAACAACTGGCATTAGTGGAAGACACTCAGCCCTTTCTATATTGTGCTGATTGCCACAAGTATTTTTGTTTCTTCTTGTAACCATACCTGTCTGTTGTAATCGTGAGCACGTCTGTCTCCGGACAGTACCGCTCTCCTACAAGTTTAATGAGCTTCTTCTTTGCATGGTCATCCAAATTCAGGTTAGAGAGTTTAACCTTCAAGTACAAGAGAAAACAATTTTAATTACTACATAAATCCAGTCTCTACACCCTGAAAGTATCTGAGACAGGCACATCTCCTATCAAGAATTAGGACAGCTATTCAGTATGCAGTTGCAGAATTTCTTCTGATTGTATCCCATCAGAAGTCTCAGCTCAAGGCAAGCAGAAGGTGAATATTCAAACAGTATATACATGCATAATGCACATCCACTCGTATTGCCTTACAAATACCAAAACCAGTTGGCATTAATGGACAGATTTGGACAGAATCATACAGATATACTTATCCATGCACCATTTGGAATGTTCCCCAAGAGGTGGAGACTCCCACAGACAAAATGAGCTACAACTGTTCAAAGTTGTCATGATTAGATGTTGTACAGGTGTTATGAGCATGTGATACCATGCAGTATTTTAACTTCATACTGACACAGTCAGAACACAACTACCTCACTGCTACTGCTCCCCTTAAGATTGGCTCAAATCTCATTCAAAAGGCATGTTCCAAACCCACAGCACAATCCTAACTTTACTACCAGAAGTACAGGCAAGCACTGGAACAGGTTGTCCAGCAACCTCCAGCCCTAAAGTGTTTCAAGACCCAACTGGATAAAGTCCCAAGTAACATGGTCTGATCTCACACCAACCTTGCTTTAAGCAGAAGGTCAGGCTGGAAAGCTCCTGAGCTCCATTCCAACTTCAAATATGCCATAATCCTAAACTAAAAGGCTGCTGCTCTTAGTGTATGCACACTGATGCCTGGAGGTCTGACAGCACAATCCTTCTTAACAATGTCACACTCATATGACCCATCCTTCAATACCTCTGCACTTCTAGGGTCAAAAAACTGGCAATGAGAGAATCTAAGTAAGACACTGAGAACAAGAGCACTTGGAACCTTTTCTACAAGAAGATTCTTCAGAAGGTACACTATTTTGTTTAGATCAGAGTTTAGTCTTAATTTATAAAGACATACACATAACCTTATGACCTCAGTTCTAACATTCTGCAATATGCTTCAGGAAATCCACTGCCTTTTATTCAGACATTGAGGAAACCATTTTGCTCATTTCCTTACAACACATCATACTTGCATGTTTTGACAAGAAAGCCAAGCATTCAGGGATTTGAAACAAAGGCTGTTTGCCAAAAATACTACTTACTCTTAAAGTCACCACTCTTGCTTTGGGATTACGAATAGATGTCCCTGCAGAAACATAATCTACTGTTTCAATTTCAACAGGAAAATGCTGTTCACATTTCTCATCACTGTCCAGAGCACTTGGCCATTCAGTGCAGAAATCTGTATAATAAAGAGAAAACACTCCAAGTAATAGCTGTTGAATCCATTTGGTAGGTTTGGAGTTTTTTTAATTGCAATATATGTTTTGAAAAGTACTATTTATAGAAACCATACTCATCTAGATAACGGCAGGGTCTCTGCTAGACTTCCTGCAGTATTTCAATCTCTCTTGGTACTGGGTTCCCCACAACAGATACAGTACTCCAAATGCATTCCCACCAGTGCCAGGTAGAATCATAGAATGGGTTGGGTTGGAAGTGACCTTTAAAGATTACAGAGTCCAACCCCTCTGCTGTGGGTAGGGACATCTTTCACTCGATCCAGCTGCTCAAATCCCTGTCCAACCTGACCTTGAACACCTCCACAAGGATGTGGCATCCACAGCTTCTCTGGGCAGCTCTTCGAGTGTCTCACCACTCTGATCATAAAAAATGCTTCCCTTGCCTAACCTCCTTATTAGGTTCCCCTTACTGGCTGCTACCGGATGCTCTTCGTCTTCAAGAGATCCTGTATCTGCTCAGCAGACCTTGCTCTCACAGAGTGTTTCATGTATTAACAGCTTTTTCTTAACAGGTCACTGAATGCAGGCCTGAATGGCTCCTGATTGAACCCTGGTTCAGTCACAGACACTTCTGAGAACTGAATCACATTCATCACTCACCTTCCTTAAGGCACCAAACATAAACTCATCACTACAAGCAGGGCCTCATGGCACAGTAAAATTTCAGTCTTACAAGGGTACTGAAAACCTGAGACAATCTTCCTCAATTGGTTGTGATAGTGTGGGTGTTGCTACTTTGGACTGTACCACCTGAGTCCTTCTGCTTAAAGCCTGTCTCACCACGCTGGCCAGCTTGCTGCTGAAGATTCCTTTGCCTCTTCTAGACAGGTGGATCCCATCCCTCCCTAACAAGCTGTAGTAATTGTGAGTAGCCAGGTATTGCTCTTGAAAAAACATTGGTTTAAGTGGTCAAAAAATGGGATTTGCTCTTAATGAGCTTTTAGTCTGAGAAGGAAAAGGACTCAACCTTGCAAGTAAGGAATGGATTGCTAGTGCTCCTTTCCCTTCTTCTTAGATTACTTCCCTGTAAAACCAAAGATGATGGTTTGATTTATTATAAAGCTTTACCATTATGAATTGCAGAAGACTGAGAGAAAAATCCCTTGCCATTGTTCAAAATTCTGGTGTCCCCAATATAAAAAGGACATGGAACTGTTGGAGCAAGTCCAGAGGAGATCACAAAGCTGGTAAGAGGTCTACAGCACCTTCCCTACAAAGACAGGCTGAGGGAGTTGGGGCTGTTCAGCCTGGAGAAGAGAATGTTACATGGGGACTTCACAATAACTTTCCAGTATCTGAAGGGCCTACAAGGAAGCTGGAGAGGGACTCTTTGTTAGGAACTACAGTGATAGAACAAGGGGTAACGGGTTCAAAATGAAGGAGGGGAAATTTAGGCTAGATTTTAGGAAAAAGGTTTTTCTTGTGAGGGTGGTGAGACACTGGTACAGGTTGCCCAGAGAGGCTGTGGCTGCCCCAACCCTGGCAGTGTTCAAAGTCAGAATGCATGAGGCCTTGAGCAACCTGATCTGGTGGGAGATGTCCCTGCCTATGGCACGGGGCTGGGACTAGATGATCTGTAAGGTTTCTTCCAATGCCTTAGCATACTATGAAACATACTATGCAACTATATCTGCCTACCACCTGGGTGACTCCAGGCAGCAGGAGAAAGCACACAATACTAGCCAAAATCTGGCAAATAACCACCTTTAGCAGTGTGCCACATCTCCCCTTCTGCTTTGGCACAAACATTTATACTCTGCACTGTCTGAAAACTTTAAGAGAGATGAGTTTGAAAAGCACTAAAAAAGAAAAAGAAAATCTCAGAATTCCCTCACCTTTAAGAGCTGCGCAGTGTTTCTTAATTGCAGGAGGAGTAAGATGCAAAAAATTGGGAATCTGAAACAGACACATTAAGAGTTACCAAAATAATAGTTTTTTGGCTGTCCCTAAGGAAAAAGGATTTATTGAAATCTGATTATACTTCATTCTTAACTTGGTATCTGTATTGTCAACTTGATACATGATCAAGCATCAAGTTACTTAACCTGATATTTGTTACCATTTCATTTGGAAATTAAAGAGGATTATCCTATTTAATAAAAGAAAACAGATTCTAAGACAAATATTCCAATCAAAGCAGTGCTATTTTAGTGAATAATAGCTTTAAAAGTGACCACACAGCCATGGCACGTGTCTTACCTTAATAAGTTCTAAGTTGCCTTCTTTTGGTGGAGGTACTCCTCTCTTCACTGGGTAACCCATTCGGATTGGGAGAGGCACAGAAGAAGGTTTAAAGGCAGCTGCTGTTGGATAAACACTGCTCCAGTCCTGATCAACAGCCATCCTCTCTGTTCTCGGAGGTGCAGACTAACCAATGGAAAAGGATACAAGTTGGATAGGGGATATACTGGTTTGTAAGACAAAACAGCATCAACACACCAAACAGATATTTCAGGAATCAATTCCCACAGCCAGAAATTTCAAGACCCCTTGACAGCAAAAGTTAGTGCTGATTTGTACAAAAGTGCCTTTCCAATCCTGGCTATGGGTCTTTCCCAATCTTCCATGGTGTTTGATTTCAGAAACATTTAGAAAGAACTTGCCATCTTCTTCCCTTGGGATAATCAGCAGGGGGAGGTGGGACAATCAAACCAGTACAGAACTGCAAGCTCTATTTCCTGAAGGGCCTGAGCATGTGGTGGGGGTAAGACAAGGAGTTTTCAAATTCTGGAATTATGAACATGTGAACCAGTTCATAATAGAAGAAATAGATTTTAACAACTCTGAAATTTCCTGCTATAGACACTCCTGTATAGGAACAATGTGTTATTATATTGCATAAATAGCTTATGTCCTCCAAAGACTCACCAAGTGTTAAGTCAAATGTTCTTAAAACACCAAAACAAACAAACATACCAGTCACCGTTTCTTTCCCCAAAACCTTGATTCTGAATTTAAAGGGGTAAAAGCAAAATTGCTCTATGCAGTTGGCTGGTCTGACTGATTTGGTGTATCGTAACATCTACTCTTGGAAGTTAAACATCAAATTAATGCATGCCAGGTTGTGCTGGTTTGGGCTGAAATGGAGTTAACTTTCTTCACAGTGGCTAGTACAGGGCTATGTTTAGGATTTGTGTAGAACACAGGGTTGATAACATAGAGATGTTTTTGTTGTTGCTGAGCAGAACTTACACAGAGCCAAGGCCTTTGCTGCTTCCCATACTGGCAAGGGAGTTGGGGGTGCATGGGAGATTGGGAGGAGACACAGCTGGGACAGGTGACCCCAACTGACCAAAGGGATATTCCATACCATAGGACATCATGCTCAGTATAGAAAGTGGGAGGAAGAAGGAGGAAGGGAAACATCTGGAGTGATGGTGTCTGTCTTCCCAAGGAACCGTTACGCGTGATGGGGCCCTGCTCTCCTGGAGATGCTGAACACCTCCTGTCTGTGGGAAGCAGTGAATGAATTCCTTGTTTTGCTTTGCTTGTGTGTGCAGCTTTTGCTTTCTCTATTAAACTGTCTTTATCTCAACCCATGAGTTTTAGTAGCTTTTACTCTTCTAATTCGCTCCCCCATTCCATTGGTGGGGGAGTGAGCAAGTTGCTGCGTGGGGCTTGGCTGCTGCTGGGGTTAAGCCACAACACAGGCCTACCTTAACTATTTGCTGCTAAAAAAACAGAACCCATAAAATACACCTTTTGAAACGTATGTGTGAATAAGAAACGTATGTGTGACCTAAGAAAATTCTCAGTTACTTAGTGCCCAGATATCAGTTTTAACTCCACTGTGCTAGTACAATTACACTGATGCACAAGATCAGACTTTCTAATTATTGCAGAAAGCACAAGAAATCCCTGAACTAATCCTGAAAACAACAGGAAAATATCTGGTTTGTTGGAAACGCAACTTTCAGTTCCATTTCAGACGTGCAGTACAGATGTCAATACAAGTTAGCTGTAAGCTTACTCTTGTGTTCTGGCTTTATGAGAATTATCGAACCATAGAATTTTAGGGGTTGGAATGGACCTTACAGATCATCTAGTCCCAGCCCCTGCCCTGGGCAGGGACACCTCCCACCAGAGCAGGCTGCTCAAGGCCTCATCCATCCTGGCTTTGAACACTGCCAGGGTTTGGGCATTCCCTACTTCCCTGGGCAACCTGTACCAGCGTCTCACCACCCTCACAGGAAAAATGTTCTCCTAATATCTTATATAATAATTTCCAGGTGGGGTCTCACGAGAGCAGAGTAGAAGGGGAAACAGACTGAGAAGAGCTGGGGGATGATAGAACATAATGCTGGCCTACAGCAGCCAGAGGGGATTGTTTCCCAGAGTTTGGCTGCAGGAGTTCCTGGAAAAACTGTTGGAACACACAGCTTAGAAAACTGTCTCAAACATCTGAGTTAACTGCAAAGCATTTCAGTACTTACTGGTCTTGCAAACTGTGGTGTCCTGCCTCTTCTTCCAATAGAAGCTGAAAGAAAAAGAGATACACCCCCCATATTTGACATATGAATTATATAGTTTTGGGGAAGAAAAAATACAGCATCATCCCATATGCTTTGTTATTTTGTGACAATTATCCAGTAATAATACTCAAACTGTACACAGAAAAATGGGAAGATCAGGTACGCAGACTGCAGACAGCTCATTTATTTTTTGAAACATAAGATTCAAAAGAACTTATCGTAGAATCATAGAATTTTAGGGGTTGCAATGGACCTTGCAGATCATCTAGATGATCCCAAACCCATCCCATGGGCAGGGATACCTCCCACCAGACCAGGTTGCTCAAGGCTCATCCAACCTGGCTTTGAACATTGCCAGGGTTGGGGCAGCCACAGCCTCCCTGGGCAACCTGGGACAGTGTCTCACCAACCTCACAGGAAAAAACTTTTTCCTAATAGATAACCTAACTTTCATCACATTGAATTTGTACCCACTGCCCCTTTTCCTGTCACTGCAGCTCATAATAGAGT